ACAGAGAACAGCTTTTTTTTTTTTTTAACATGGCACTTACCACTCCAAACGGCAGTTCTTGGTGAAGTGGGTCGTGTGTGTGTGGAAGATACAATGGTACAGAGGGAGACAAGGTAGGAGTATGATGGGAAGGAGAATACGAGAAGCCCCCCATTGAGTGCTGTTCACCCCGAAGCTCTACCTCGTTTTCTATCCTCTGAAGTGGCTGTGGGAAAAGGATATACACATTCTGCATTGGCAATTGCTCCCCAATATGTCTGAAGAGTGAGAACTGGAACCCAAAGATGGCTAACTCTTGCGTGCCATCAATAAGATAATTTACCATGTACTGTACACCTCCACAAGATTAATTTGTTGAACTAATATATAGAATTGAGGGGAGGAGCCATTTAAGCCACCGAGTCCAACTCTTTACTCAGGAAGCTTTTCCTAACATTCAACTGGAACGGATTTTTCTTGTAATGCAAGTCTATTATTCCATGTGGTGTATACTCTGAAATGAGAGGGAACAGGTCTTGACCCCTCCTCCCCCGGTTCCTCTTCCTCCCCCTTGCTCAACTAAGTTTTATCCAGTGGTCAAAAGGAAAGAGCCAAAAACAGCTGATTTTTTTTTGGGTGCCCTCCTCCATTATCTGTAGAAAAAAAGCGATCAGCAAAGTAAGTCATATTTCCTGGGAGGACCAACCCACATCTTCTCTGTTCTTTAGGGATTAGCCACTGTATTTCATAGGACTTGCTTTCTTCTCTGAAGGCTCACAGCTTCTTTCTGCACTAAGATCTGAAAGCCGCTTCTGAGTTGCAGGATGAAAAACATATTCTAAACCTGCTTTTTACTCTTGGCTGACTCGTTTGATTATCATCTTCCTTAGGGAAGAAGGCTTATTCTGTGAGCTACTAGTGTCTTTTTCATCTTTCTCATTAACCAAACTATGGCTACTCACTGCTCTGACATTTTCTTCAAACCTTGCTCCAAGTTTGTTTTTTTCTTTCTTTCTTTCTCTTTCTCTTTTTCTTTCTTTCTTTTCTTTCTCTCCCTCCCTCCTTCTTTTCCCTCCCTCTAGATTTATATGGCCACCCGATTCACCAGACGGATTCTGGGCAATTTACAATTCAAATGAATTAATTATTAGAGAGAATGTAATATGAAAAAAAATACACTGGAACATAAAATAACAGGAGACAGTATCATTAATAACAGTAACAACAGAAGAAAGAAGCTAAGCAGCTAAGGAGCACATATCTTATTCAATGGTCTGACATTATGCATAGGCTGAGCCTACGTCTGGTCCAACATTTCGGAGAAGAACCAGGCTTTTAGGATCTTGTGAGAATACATAAAGGCTGAGACCATCTAAGCCTCAGGGGAAATGATGTTCTAGAAGTGTAAAAAATGAAGACACATCCCTGGACCCCCAGTAGCGACACTATTTTGTGGAAGGAAACCAAAACATTTCCGCTTTGCTGGATCTCACAGGATAAGCAGAGATAATCAGAGCAAGGCAGTTCCCCAAATAACCCTGCTTTGTGCCACAAAGAGCTTTACAGATAACAACACTTTGAATTGCATCAAGAAGCTTTAGGGAGTCAGTGTAACTTGCAAAGCATTGTGTGGTGTGGGGACACTGAGGTGTTTCCCTAATTATTTGTGCTTCTGAACCAACTTCGACGTTTGGTTTTCAAGAGGAGCTCCAGGTCAAGGACTTTGCAGTCCTTTAGACAGGAAATGACTATGGCATGAGTGACCAAGGGCAAGCTTCTTCTGAGCTACAAGGTACTCTCTTTTAATTCCAAGATTTTAGGAAATCGGTAGATGGTACGCTACAAGTTTTTGCACAATAGTAGATGCAGGTGTGGGGGGGAAATAAGAGCACCGACACTTCTTCCTTCTGAGCCAATTTAGGCATTCTCAAGAAACTTACCATGCGAGGATGCTGTGGCTGGAGTGGGACAAACTGGCCGAGGGCTGTCATATGAGCAGGCTGGTGTGGTGGCACAGGTGGCGGAGGGTGCAGGATATAATGATCACTGGAAATGAGTGGTGGGAATGTTTGATAAGAGACATGGAGTTGCTGCATGGCACAGGCCTGGATGAGCTGTAAGGCGAAAACAGAAAGACGGCGTCCTCAAAAGAAAGCTACCTTCAGTGCATTTAAGATCAACGTGTCTACTTGAAAAATAATTGACCGCAGCCTAAAAAGGGAATAAAAAGGGAAGAATCCATTTGGCAGCAAAACGTCATCTCCAAAGACTAGCAAGGACCTAAAGGCCTTTTAAATGGAAACCAAGTTATTTATTCTCTCCAATAGAAGAGAATATGCCTAACTTAAGAGTTGAACTGTGGAGTTCTTGATACTCTCAGAGTTTGGTTGCTTGCTTGCAGATGTTTCATTACACAACTAAGTAACTTCATCAATACAAGCATGGTATTTCCTCCTTGTTCATATATAGTAAGTAGCTTGCCTTGCCAGCTTGATGAGGGTGCCACTTTCTTTTTGGTAGTTTCTTGCTTATTTCTCTGACATTAGTCCTTGCTTACCTGGGTGCTAAAAATGTATGTCCTGGTCTTTTGGGTTCCTTCTTAGCTTTTTTACAGGTAGTCCCTGACTTACAACCAACCTTTTAACAACAGTGTGGAATCAAAATACCCTTGATGGTTCATGACTGTTGCAAAATGTTGCACCAACCCAACCTCCCAATCCCGACATACAGTCACATGACCACAATCCGGCTGCTTAGCAACCTGTTTACACTTACAATTGCCAAGCATCCCACAATCATACGAACATCATTTACAATCATCTCTGCTGGCTTCCCCAGAAAGTAAATGGGGAAGCCAGCGGGGAAGATTGAAAGCTGCTGCTGCTTCTTGCCATAATGACTCCCTCTTCTCTCAGGAGGCTGGCTGAAAGAGCTGCCTGCCAAAGGACTTACACAGTATGCCACAAATGCCTCTTGTTTTTTTTCTTTTCTTTTGGGTTTACTTAATATTTTGGTTACTTAAGATGTCTCAGGGGGTTTTATTTGGTTTCTTCAGTTAGTTTAACTGGATCTCACAGGATAAATGTAAAATTGAGAACAGACACCCTCAAAATCCAGCTCTATCCATTAAGGTCATGACCAACACCTCAATTTGCAACCAGAAGCCAGTGCAGCTCACAAACTAATGATGAATTAACGGTGTTATCATGGTGGTACCAAGGCATGCCTGTAACTACCTGCAGTGCCAAATTCTGGACTCACTGCAACTTCTATGTGTGCTCTTCAAGAGTCCCATGTAAAGTATTTTGCAATTATCCAATGGGAAGTGACTAAGACCCAACTGACTGAGCAGAACCTCACATTCCAGGAACAGGTACAATTGGTGTACAAAATGAATTTGAGCCAAATCTTTCCTGGCAATGGCTATCACACCAGCCATTTTTTCACAATGTTCCTCCCAAAAGGTCAAAATTGGAAACTCAACATGAATTATTCAGTATTACTGGGGTAGACTAATAGTTCTTGAGTACCTGTGGTGGGAGAATCACTGCTTCCTTAAATACAAACAAGACCACCCCTTCATTCAAAGATGAATTAATCACCACCTCTTGGATAACCATAACCAAGCAAAAGGACATGGATATAACATCAAGGTGACTGAGTCCAAGAAATGTGTATAATTCTTCAGGATCACCAGGCTCAAAGCTTTCCCAGGTTGCACATGAACATGCCTCAGTCAAATCCACAGGACCCACATAACTAAAGTTCAGCTTGGCAACTTAATTTGTCAGATGCCTTCATTACTTTTCCTAGTGGCCCTGCCTCCTAACATGGTCTGGATCATGATGAACAGGGTTGGGAACTAGTTATCTCTAGATCTACTAACAGCATAAAAATAATTATAAATTTCACTGCTCCTATTTTCACAAGGTAATCTCTTATTCATGTTCTGTCAAATACATCCTGTTCTTATTTTTTCAGTAGTGCTCTGGGTACCTGTTCTGTCATTCCATCTCCTACAACTCTCTTGAAAAACCAAAGGGCAGCACAGGATTTACAAGCAGTGAGGGGATGTATAGATGCAATCCAATCTATGGTCATCGTTGCATTCTTATTCCAAGCAATGATCAAGACTGTCTGTGTATCCTAGAGCCTCAGGAACAACTCCAAATTCCCTCTGCAGCAGGAAACAGCCATAAAACTTCCGAAGCAACAAGATAGTGATCACACTATGGCAGGGATCTGATTTGACTGGTATCCCAAAATGAATCAAGCATGTGACTTCTTCTGTAAGTCAGGCCCTTAATTATTTGGGTCAAGTCCATAGCTGTCATGAACCCCCACCACATGTACACACAAGTATTGGTAATTCATGCCAGGTCATTCTCTCATCCATCATTAATTCTTGCTCTTTTTAAGCCAAAGGACTCACAGGGGGTGGGAGGCAGCAGAGTGGATAGTGCTGTCCACTGAACATCACTGAGCATGCTGGGAGCTGCTGCGCACTGCAGCCAGGTATGTGCTGGCCAGTATGAATGGGGAAGCCTTGTGTTGTTACTGTGGTCACCGTGTAGGAGAGAGGGACAGCTCCCTGATGCACCTGGAAGGGAAGGGGAGATAAAACATAATCAAATCACATCCAAAGTGTTTTATATTTTCCCACTAATCTTTTTAATACATGATAGTGTAGATTTGACACTAAGCAATAATAAAAAAGGAAGTGCTAGTCGGACGCAAACCATAAGTGATTTCAAACCAGCACAAACACCAAAGAATAAAGATGAAGCATTAGGGATAACAAATCAAAGGCATATCAACCTGATGATACAAGTATGAGATAACCACAACATAGAATCATAAACAATTCAAGCTGAGTGTTCATGACCCAAAAATTGAAATAGTACCGGGAAAATTTCTCCTGAAAAATACTCTCTTCCCAGATTCTCATGCTTATATTTCTGAGTCTAAACCACCACCCCAGCTTTGTTTAGTAATCAAGTAGCCCAGTTTTTTCTCTATTTGTAAATTGTATAGCCTGCATTTTCACTATTCCTTAACAAGCTAAAGTGTCCTAATAACAATCCATCTGCAGGATGCTTTACAATCCATCTGCAGGATGCTGAAAGCAGTACTTTTTAATCTTTATTTCATATACATTGCTTAGATAGTTGCTTATTCAGTTTCCTTTGAGGTATCGATAATGCCCATGAAAGCTTTATATTCCACTATATTGCATTAGTTTATATATCACACTAAGCTCAAAAGCAAACACCAGCACAAACTGGAATCATTCTTTTTTTTGTTGTTGTTGAAAACAATTTCCCCATCTTATTCTATCAGTCTAACACAGTGGTTCCCAACGTGTTATAAAAAAAATTTTAATGGGAGCAATTTGAGCCTTATTTAAACCAAATTAATGGCCTTTTAGGCTTCCTCCACATGAATAGAGTTCACTTTTTGAGTAAAGTAAGAATTATATGTCACCGGAGGTGGGGGGGGGGGAGGATTTTAGAGATGCTTAGGTGGGGCATGGCCAAAAAAGATTTGAGAACCACTGTTTTTATGAAGGAGCAGTAACTGCATAGTCTAAAATGTTAAATCTTTTCCTGTGTATTGTTGGAAGATGAATTCTTGTCAAGCATACTACCGGCTTAGAGATTCAGGCTGCTAAATAATTTGACGTTGTTGGGAGTTTAATGTTGCTAAACCAACACATACAACATACAAATTACATTCATAATCCAACGTACAACAACTGTATGCTGCCAACTTGCTGAAAGATGATGCCAGCCAGCAAAGAGACTAATCTGTATGTCAACACATTTCTCGTAGCAAGGCCAGAAATATATTTGTGCGAGAGAAATTTAGTATTTAGTATTGGAGCAGAGATTGGAGAAGCACAAGGTTCTTCAGATGCGTTTGCTGGATTACAGCTGCCATAATTATTGGCTACCATGGAAGTGTCTGATCACAGTCCGGCAATATCTGCAAACCAATGGATTCTTAAGAGACCTATCCTCTGCAAGGACTCTCTGATGCTGCCTCACCAAGTGGAGGACAAGTAAGATTAACAGGGCAGAAGCCTAACTGGAAAGTCAAAAGTCAAATGCTTGGACCTGCTGGAAGTTTCAGAATTTCAGGAGCAGCAGTGTACATGTTGCCATAGGAACAACATTCCCACAATTATAGCAGTAATATAACTGCAGATTCACTGTTGAACGAATGCACATTTTAAAGAGCCTGGATCAGAAGTTGGTTCCTACCTGTTCGGAACGGCTTGGCAGAGTAGGTAGTAACTCGGCCTGCCATGCCCAGGAACCAGGTTTATCGCCGGTGCCATAGGCGCCGCCATCTTGTTTTTTGCTTCTGCGCATGCACAGCTTTTTTTTTTTAGTACTGTGCATGCGCAAGTGCAGAGAGTCCCGGAGCAAACCGGCCGTAGCAGCAGCCGGGACCCACCCCTGGCCTGGATGGCGCTTCCCATAATGTCTAAGGTATTGATTGCACATTACACTGGTTATGATTTCACTACCCCCACTCTGGTCACTTCAGCTTTTATCAGCTATAGGCTGAATTCTGATGCATACTTTTAAAAAGTATACACAATGCCTTCACGCTGAAATCAATTCCAGGCATCACATTTTAAATCCCTACAATATTACATGAAACAATATAATAAAAATGAGAGGAACAAAGCTATTTAATCACCCTTACGTATATTGTTTTAAGATACCATCATATGATACCTGGCAAACATCCAAAGAATTATAAAATGTTTGTATGTTCCTCTTTGTGCGAAGGAAAATTCAATCTCAAAAGCAGGATAAGTTTGACTTCACAATGGTCCTAATGGCCGATACAGAAACTTTCATTGCTTTTTGCATTCCATCACTAGCAGCAAAAAGGGGAAATTCTGTGAATGAAATGAGGAAAATGTACCTCAGGGTTTCAAGCAGAAGTGCTTCCCAACCAAAAGATGTGAATCTTTCCGCTGAATATATTAAAGAATCAGCTTAGATTGTTACCCGTACAAAAGCATGCTCTTTCCTATGAAGTTATAATTTCTCTCATCATCACCAGCAAGTAGAACAGCCAGGCAACTAAACAGCATGTGCTGCACTTATGAGCAGTTTTATATTCCCCACATGATCTTGCATTGCCATTCTTTCAGTCAACAACTGGATCTAATAACTGCTATATCTTAAACAGTTTTAAAGGATGGTTGACACTATCAGTTATATAGTGTTTCACAGGCAAAAGCTTTCAGAGCTACAGTACATCCAACAACACAATTTACCCTTTTCAGTATATAAGAAGCAGTAACTTCTTATGGTTTTACTATCTTTGGCCAATAGACTCTTCCAAATGTAAGCGGGACAATATCCCAGCCGTAGGTTTCCAAGGGTACTTATGACACAACATCCACCTTACCTGGTCATGGAGATCCACCATGAATGGATGCTGGTGGGATGTGTGTGCCGCTGGGTGAAGCATTCGTGGTGGCGTGGTGGCCAGAACATACGCTGGGTGCTCATCTACAGAGACTTGTGGCTGTGGCTGCTGCTGCTGGAAAAAAGCCGGGTGCAAGTAGTTCTCATCCTGGGCTAGGAGAGTTTGCAGAGGTCGCTCACGTCGGCCCCAGTGGTGCCGGAAAGGAGGGCTGCGTTGCCAGTTGCGGGGAGAGAAATATAGAGGGGTGACCCTAGGGGCTGGCCAGTTATATGTGCTGACCTCTTAGCTATGAATACACCAATTTTTAATGTCAAGGATAGGTCAACATAGTAATATTATATGGGGTGGAGGCAGGCTTAGCTGCTCATGCAGCAAATTAGGCCATAAATGCAATTAATGCATTCAAATATACTGAATACTGTAGCATAACTGCCAGGATTCTGCTATGTGTCATTTCTTCACTCTGCAGAGAAAAAAAATGCCAGGAGAAGAAATGCACAAAGCTCTGCAACCTCACTCGGTTTCACGGATAATGTTCTGGGCATGACGAGAGTCCAAGCAACTGAGCAAAACCATCTCATTATCTAGAAGTAGATATAGTCATAAAACACAAGCATATGATGAATGGTTCATCCATGGAGTAAAAGTTTATTTCCAACCATTTCTGATATCTGTCCCACATCAATAGTAATGTGATTGTAACAACCTGTCCATAAGTTTATAAAAGATTTCTTGTTGAAGCTCTATAAAGCTTTTCACCAAGAAACTGAACAAGTTTTCTTGGCTATATTGGCTTTGTTATAGAAGGCAGTCACAGCAAGTGAGAGTTCCTAGTTGAACCGAGATTATTTCGAAACAACTGGAGAGAGGAAGATGTGGACCTGTCCAATACGACATGTGGGATTGAGAAGTAATATAAGAGCCACTGACTAGACTGGATAATCCAAACATATCTCAGAAGAGGAAGTGAAAAATCACTTCCATGACGTTTCTGAGGAGCTAATATGGACACTAAGTGGTCAAGAATTGAGGCAAAATTTACATTTATTTTAATATGGAATTGAGTGCTGCTATTTTAAGCCACATATGAATTCTTTAAAAACTAGAGGTGTCATCTGTAGTCATGCAGCACAATCAAGCCTCTGAATCCCCTCAAGCCCAAAG